GATCGATAAGCAGTATTGATATAAGTAGTAGTACAGTTAAAACCTTAACGTTCCGAATAATCGATTAATCGTTTCATTAATCGATAGATTAATCGATTATCAAATTAGTCGTTTGTTGCAGCCCTACTCTGTTCTCTAAGGTAATGAAACCTCGTATCTCCAGACTGTTCTCTCTTTACCCACTCTGTTCTCTAAGGTAATGAAACCTCGTATCTCCAGACTGTTCCCTCTTTACCCACTCTGTTCTCTAAAATGAAACCTCGTATCTCCAGACTGTTCCCTCTTTACCCACTCTGTTCTCTAAAATGAAACCTCGTATCTCCAGACTGTTCTCTCTTTACTCACTCTGACTCTGTTCAGTAAAGGCCGTCATTAAGTTACAAGATATAGTGCTTTCATTTGAAGTAAAGAGGAAGTGTTGTAATTTAAAGACGATTTAAGTTTGTTGATTTATTTTTCCACACATGATAAATTACATCAGTTTTACAGTCTTCAATTTTCCATAATAAAGACGTTTGTTGATGTTTCCACAGGATCCGTGTCCCCTGTGTGACGAAGCTAAAGAGCAGCTGGAGCCTCTCAGACACAGAGTGAGTCTCCATCCGATGTCATAATATATCATATAATATAGAAATATAAAGTGATAGCTGTGTGTGTGCAGTTTGTCCTGCAGCAGGTGGATATCTCCCTCCCTCAGAACGCTGTCTGGAGGCAGCGCTACGCTCTGGATATTCCCGTCTTCCACCTGAACGGACGCTTCGTGATGAAGCACCGCGTGGACCTGCAGCTGCTGGACTCCCTGCTGAGAGACGAGCAGGGGACGGGAGGACAGGAGGACAACTGAATACGCTTTAATAAATACTTTAAATCATCAATAAAGAATAAAACAAGCTGTCACTGCGTCTGCTTTATTACAGAAACCAGTCAGTGAGCCGTCAGCCAATCAGGGCCTCGCTCCACCCTGTGATGTCACTGCTGGTGGTCTCATGTGATCCCAGTTCATGGTCCAAGTTCCTGCTCCCAAAAAGTCAAAAATCTCAAAGAATTGGGACTTTTCTCAGAGTTTTGAATATAGTATAATATCTACCTCGCTGAGAGGCTGACAGCTGCTCCTGAGTCACCTGACCCCTCATTAAAGATTAACCTTGGCTGTCGGCCAATCAGCTGTCAGTGTAGTGTGTGTGTTGCTGTGGAGCCCTCAGGTGTGCTCAGGTGAGCTGATGGCGTCCGGCAGAGCTGCCGACGCTCAGGAGGCTCTGCAGCGAGCACGAAGGAAGATATTAACTCTACAGAACAATATACCGTAAGATATGAATATATAATATAATATTAATAATACATGAGACTTGTATAGCACTTTTCTAGAAACTCAAAGACGCTTTCACAGAGAATAAAACAAAACAAAGAAACAGAAAGAAATACAAAAAGAGAAACAGAAAATAGGGGAGGG